CCACAAGGCCTGGCTTTTTTTTGTTGCAGTTTGCCTGGGGCTGGGTTTGAGCCTGCCGCCCTCGGTATATGGGACTGGTGCCCTACCCACAGATCCACATGCACTGCCCCATCCATCTGTCTTGTATGCACCTGGGAATGCCACAGAGGCCTGGAGCTCGTCCCTACCAGGCTGAGAGCTGATGGTGGGGGCCAAGGATGCTTCCCCAGGAAGGCAGAAGAATTTACTTCCATTCTCTCCCCCAGGTTCAGTCCCTCTCCCAGACCCCCATCAGATGCTCTGTTCCCTCTTGGCACAAGGCTCACGCTGTCCTTGATGTGATCTGCAGTCTGGTTTCTGTCCCTGAAATCTCCATCTCTGAGCCGAGTGGGAAACCGTTACTTGCCAAACTTGGTGGTATAATTTCCTGCTCTGTTGTACTTCTGGGTGGCACTTGCACCCTGAAAAATAACCACTGAACATGGCTGGGGAGCATAGAAAGAGGGCAGAAACAATAGATGTGGTGAGCTTTTAGCATAAATTTTCAAAAGGAACTAGCAGTACTTATTAGTTGTCTACCTGTATATTTATTTAGCTTTTACATAAAACCTAAAAAAGGGTTTGTGGTACAAACCTTTTTGTCGCATAAAATCTCAAATGTCTAAGAAACAAGGAGCAGGTCTTCCCCATCTACCTCAATACTCAAGGCCTCCCCCTACAGCGATAACCTGTCTCCTTCCAGAAGACTTGGACATATTTGTGCATGTTTGCTGCTTATATTCCAGATAAGAACAGGCTATATGCATGCCTTTCTTTCTTTTTTTTTTTTTTCGTAGTTTTGGCTGGGGCTGGGCTTGAACCCACCACCCCCGGTATATGAGGCTAGCGCCCTACGCCTTGAGCCACAGGCACCTTCCTATGCATGCCTTTCTCTTCCGTGAACTGCTCATTTACTATCTCTGTGATGGTTCCATGTCAGTGCCACAGTGTCTTTGTTCTTGTGGTGGCTTAGTAGAAGACCTTTTGTTTGCATGCATCATAATTTACCTACTTATTTTATTGATACAAGGTCTCATTCTGTTGCCCACCTGAGCTGGCGGGTTTGAATACAGCCCAGGCCTGCCTAACAACGACGGCTGCAACCAAAAAGTAGCTGGGCGTTGTGGCTGAGGCAAGAGGATTGGTTGAGCCCAAGAATTTGAGGTTGCTGTGAGCTATGATGTCATGGCACTCTACTGAGGGGGACAAAGTGAGATTCTGTCTGAAAAAGAAAAAAAAAAAAAGCAACATCAGAAAGCAGCCTGACCGGCTTATGAGTTGTTTCCTGGAGTTGGAGCTATATGCCAGTTTGGCCAAAGCTGCAGCCCTTCTTCCCTGCCCACATCCTGCCATGTTTCTGTCCCTATCCTAGGCACCTTTGCCCGGTAGATGGTGCTTCTCTCTGCCCATGCTTTCTTGATGGGTAAAGGGCTGAGGCCGTGGATGGGTGGGACCAGATCAGCCAACCCTGGTGGTGCAGGTACTGTTTCTGACAATGTGTAAGAGGGAATAGGCTGGGCCTGCAGGTCAGTGACTGCCTGGCAAGCCTGGGCAGGGCCCTGCGTCAGATCTGTCCTGGCCCCCCGGGATATAAGCCTCATCTTCATGTCCTAGGCAGGCGGGATCTGACCATGTGGCTTTTGCTGGCTTTGTTCTGTTTCTCCCTTCTTCACTGCTTCTGTCCAGGTTACTTGGTTTGTGGCACTTCCCCCAAGCTGGCTCCCAGCCACCCTACTACCCTGTATGTCCTCTAGGCCACCTTCTGGCTTGTCATGGTGGGGCTGGGACTGCTGCTGTCTTGTGGGACCTGCCTCAATCCCTCCACAGGGTGCAAGGAACCCCCCTCTGCTCTGCTGTGTATGGCTGTTACGTGCAGTACTCCTTGGTACATGAGCCATAGCGTGCTTGTTCCCTGCTGGGCAGGTTTTTTGCTGTGTTTTGCTGGCACATGGTATTGCTATGAACCCATGATGAGCTCCCGTGTAGGTGTCCCTTGGATACACATGTGGGGCCTGTTTAGGTTGGCAGTGCTTACAGAGCTGTCATGCTTAGGGAGGGGTCCTTCTGACCTGGAGTGGGGGGAGACCAAGGGCACTACTCAGCACCTTGCAGTGCCCAGGACACCCCATCCCAGATAGTGACCTGGCTCTGAAGGTCATCTGTGGAGTGCTGGGTCCCCATGTGCAAATTATCCTGTTCATCCTTTAAGTGCCATTTGCCTTATCCGCTTCTTGTTTCCCTATCATTTGACTTATTACCTCCCTTTTAAAATTAGCGCCCTTTATTTCTTTAGAGCAGTCAAAGTTCACAGCAGAATCAAGCAGGAGGTGAAGAGCTCCCTGCCCTCACAGTGGGGCGTTGGTTACAGCGGACCAACCTCCATAGACAGGTCAGCAGTAGGGTTCACTTTTGGTGTGGAACATTCTGTGGTTTGGACAAATACATACATGTGTCTGCCATTGCAGTATCCTACAGAGCAGTTCGCTACTCTAAAATCCCGTGTGCTCAGCCTGTTCCTTCCTCTGCCCCGCAAGCCCCTGACAATCACTGATCTTTTACATCTCTACAGTTTTGCCTTTTCCAGAATGTCCTAGAGTTGGAATCATGTAGTACGCACCCTTCTTAGATGGGGTTATTCCTTTTTTTGACAACTTTATTGGGATGTAGTCTAGATACTGTTCAGTTCACCCATGTAAAGAGTACAATTCAGTGCTTTTTAGGTACAGTCAAGTTTTGCAACCATCATTGTAGTTAATTTTAGGACATTTTCATAACTTTAAAGGGAAATCCTGTACCCACCAGGTAACCCCCTCTTATTTCCCCCACCCATAGCCCCTGGCACCTATGAATCCACTTCCTGTTTCTGGATTTCCGGTTCTGGTCATGTCATATAAATGGAGTCTCGCACTGTGTGTTCTTCTGTGTTTGCTTCTCTCACTGAGCATGATGTCCTCAAGATCCCTCCACGTTGTAGCCTGTGTCCGAGCCTCCTTCCTTTTCATGTCTGAGTCCTATTCCACTGTGGATGGTCCGTGTTGGGTTTATCCACTCCGGTATTAGTGGACTTTTGGCTGTTTGCACTCCCTGGCTGTGGTGAAGGAAGCTGTGTGAAGCTGTGTGAACATGTGTGTACAGATTGACGTGCCTCCTGCTTTCTGAGTCTTTTGCCTGGTGTTGGAAGTGCTGGAGCCGTGTCTTGGTACCAGAGTAGTGTGGAGGTATCACAGGCACTCCCTACTCACTGAGTGAATGGTGAGGGAGAGGCAGTTGTCAGTGGCACTCTATATCCAGGGTGTTTCCAGGTATCCCCTGAAACCTCTGCAGCTGTTCATAGGATGGCTGTGCTCAGTGTTTTCCTGATAGCTGGGCATGGTGGCTGCACCTATAGTCCCAGCTACTCAGGAGGCTGAAGCTGCAAGATAGCTTGAAAACTGGAATTTGGGTGCCGGTAGGGGCAGGTGTTTTTCTGGAAAAGAAAAGCCATCTTTCATCAGGTTCTCAGGTTTATGATGGACAAAGGGAAAGTCCTTGGACTCTGGAACTCACTTTGACCTGAGGTGCTGTTTGCATATTAATGGGCACCAGGCTTGTGGACCTCCAGCTGGTGGGAAAGGTTGGGAGGGAGGAAGAGAGCTTACCCTTCTGTGTATCTGTTGCCCTGTCTCTTCCCCTTCCTCAGGGCAGTTCTGCCCCCCAGGAGATACTGGGCAATATCTGGGGACATTTTTGGTTGTCATGACGGGGCTACTGCTGGTATGGAGTGGATGGTGGCCAGGGATACTGCTCGGCACCCTGCAGGGCCCAGGATGGCCCCACCCCAGAGAATGGGGGCCTTACCCAGTGGCAGTGTCCACAGTGCAAAAGAGGAGGCCCCTGCCTTAGGGACATTGGGTAAACCACATGGGAAAGGGTCCTTGTTTGGTGCTGGATCACCAAGGGATAGTTTCTAACAAATTAATCCCCTTTGCTTCTTTTGCCATTCGGGTGCAGCTCAGGAGGTCCTTTCAAGCACAGCTGCTGAGTCAGATGACCAGAGGTGCAGACTGTTGGATTGTGCTAGTGACAGCCCTATCTGTGAGGCACAAGGGAGTTGGGATAAAGGCCTCAGAGAGAAGGATGGAGTTGATGGAGGGAGAAGCTGCCTTGGGCAGATAAGGTTTGAACTGGAGCCACTGAACACTGGGGTGTGTTCACACAGGGCAGGTGTTCCTCCTGAGCACTGTGGACACTGGGCCTGGATCCTTCTCTGGGTTAGGGCCGTCTTGAAGACAGCAGGTGCTAAGCAGCGTCCCTGCCTCTACCCACTCCATGCTAGGCGCACCTTCCTTCTCCTAGTTGTGACAACCACAAGTGTCCCTGGACATTGTCCAGTGTCCCCTGGGAGGCAGGGGGTAATGTACTGTAAGAAAAGCTGCTCTAAGCGGCTCAGCGCCCATAGCAGTGCTTACAGTGCCAGCCATATTCACCAAGGCTGGCAGGTTTGAAGCTGGCCCGGGCCAGCTAAAACACCTGCAGCAAAAAATAGCTGGGCGTTGTGGCAGGAACCCTGTCGTCCCAGCTACTTGGTAGGCTGAGGCACAAGAATCGCTTAAACCCAAGAGTTTGAGGTTGCTGTAGCTATGACACCATGGCACTCTACCGAAGGTGACATAGTGAGACTCCACCTCCAAAAAAAAAAAGCTGCTCTAAGTTAGGAAGAACCTCTGAAAACCCACTTCGTCTGTGGCACACTGGGACGACGATATTCTGTGTGTTCATAGGAATATTTGGAGTATAATGCCAACAGCCCGCACTGAGGGTGGCCTGGGGCCCTTAAAGGAAGGGCCAGTGGTGGTGCTGCAAACAAGACCCCCCTGGCTTTAGGTGCTTCAGTCTGATCTAGATCTCACTGTGCATGAGGGTGGGGATGCGGGTGCTTTTGCTCAAGGCCAGCCTGGTGCCTGCACATGCAAACTCAATGTTTGTCCTGGGTATCTCCACAGATGGAGGATGGCCACAGTCTCTTTGACTATAACGTCCGCCTGAATGACACCATCCAGCTCCTGGTCCGCCAGAGCCTTGTGCTGCCCCCTGCAATCAAGGAGAGGGACCCTGAGCTCTCAGACACGGATTCCGGCTGTTGTCTGGCCCAAAGCGAGTCTGACAAGTCTTCCAACCATGGCGAGGCGGCTGCTGAGACAGAGAGCAGAGTGGACCTGGGGGATGAGGCCACATGGGTCGAGGCAGGGCTGTACAAGGTGAGGCTCTGGGGCTGCATGGTCTTTGCGCACTTGGGTTCCACAGGTAATGCAGCCCAGGTTCCCCCAGCTTCCCTGCTTGGACTTTGTTGAGGGCAGCCAGCCTCCTCCTGGACTAGGCAGCCTCCATCCTACAGTGGAAATGACTGGCGGGAATTTGGTTTCCTTCCCAGCAGCCTCCCAGAGTGCTAGGATTATAGGCATTCCCCATGTTCCATGTGGGGAACACTTAGGATTCATTCCTTTGTGACCCTCTAGAGCAGAGAAGTCCTGTGCTGGGGCCTGCAGGTGTTTTCTGTAGCCCTTGCAGTGGCTGTGAATTTCTGAATTCGCTGCTGCCATCTAAGATCAGGAAATGGGCTAAGTGTAGTGCAGTGGTTCTCGACCTGTGGGTTGCAACCCACAGGAGCTGTATTAAAGGGTTGCCACATTAGGAAGGTTGAGAACCACTGGCATAGTGGCTCATACCTGTGATCTCAGCACTTTGGGAGGCCAAGGCAGGGGGATTGATTGAGGCCAGGAATTGGAGGCTGCAATGAACTGTGATTGTGCCACTGTACCCCAGCTTCAGGAACAGAGCAAGAACCACGTCTCAAAAGAAGGAAAAGACTTCTACAGAAATATTTAGATTTCCAACTTTTTTCTTTTTTTTTCCTTAAAAGTCTTACTTTGTCACCCTTGGTAGGGTGCTGTGGCATCATAGCTTACAGCAGCCTCAAACTCTTGGGCTCAAGTGATCCTTTTGCCTCAGTTTTTTCATATTTAGTAGAGACCGGGGTGGGGGAGGGTCAATGTTGCTCAGGCTGGTCTCAAATTCCTCAGCTGAAATAATCCAACTGCCTTAGCCTCCCAGAGTGCTAGGATTACAGGCGTGAACCACCGCACCTAGCCAAGATTTCCAGCTTCTCTTGGCAGTACTGGTTTCCTGGAGCTGCATAGCAGCTATGGCTGGAGCATGGCAGCAGGGCCTCCGTTAATATAATACACTCATGCTCTGCGTCCATCTTGTTCCAACTTGGCCTACTTTCTTCCTGTGGTTCCATATAGGCAGTGGTTCCCTTTTGGGGGATTGTTCCCTCCTAGGAACACTGGGCCATCTCTGGGTACATCTGAGAGTCATGACTTGTGAGTGGGGAGAGCCTCTGTCATTGGGTGGGTGGAGGCAGGGACTATGCTCAGCACCTGCGGTGTCTCAGACAGGCCCACCCCAGAAGTGCTCCGGCCTAATGTCATGGGTGCTGTGGTGGATAAACCCTATTATCAGCATCTGAGTTTGCATCTGGGTTCTGAATCACCAGCACTCTCAGAAGCAAGATAGGCTCCTGTCAGAATACCTTGTCCCAGTCAGGACGAGAATTTTTGTTCTTACAGGTCAATGAGTACGTCGATGCTCGGGACACAAACATGGGGGCTTGGTTCGAGGCGCAGGTTGTCAAGGTAACACGGAAGGCACCTTCCCAGGATGAGCCCTGCTGTTCTACCTCTAGTCCAGCCCCCGAAGATGATGTCATTTATCACGTGAAATATGACGAGTGAGTGTCTGGTGGGCTTGGGCTGGTCTAGGGAACTTGGGCTCTTTGGGACATATCATTGTTGGCTACGTGTCTTTAGTCTGGACCTTGGTGCTGTCTTAGGTTGGCAGTTAGGACCTGGGGCTAGGCTGGGATCCTTTTCCTAACATACCCTAACAACACATGAGGCCACCTACTGGGGACCAGCCAGGCGGGCTCCTCCTTGGAGATCTCTGTTCAGCTTGGCCAAGCAAATTGCCATGTTCTCCCCACTCCAGTTTTCCTGTATTGTTTTATTCATGCCTCTTATTTACGCATGTCACCATGTTTTGTATTTGTTGTCTCTTTGCTTGGAATGTAAAGCTCTGTTTCCTGCGTGTGTATTTATTGAGCACTTACTGTTTGCCTGGCCCTGTCGCAGGGACATGTGTTGGTGACAGACACAAGCAGCATTTTGTCTGTCCAGGCTACTACAATAAGATATGACAGACTGCAGCTCAAACAATAGACACTGACTTTCATGCAGTTCTAGAGGCTAGAAGTCCAAGGGCGAGTGATAGGTGCCTCAGTGGGGTTGGACAGCCAGAATGTTCTAGCATCCTGACTTGCAGGTGGCTGCTTTCTCACTGTGTCTTCATATAGTTTTTCTTCCATCTGCTTTGGGGTCTTTTCCTATAAGGACACCAGTCCTGTCACATTAGGACCCCATCCTTATGACTTCAGTTAACCTTCATTTTTCTCTCTCAAGGTCCTGTCTCCAGTATGGTCACATTGCATGTTATGGCTTTGCACATGGATTTTGAGAAGAACACAGTTCAGTCCATGACAGAGCAAAGTCCACTTAGGGCTCATGTTGTAGGGGGTGGGGGTTTCATCTAGTTCTTTCCTGGATCCCTGAATAGTTTCTGGCCATTCTAACTTAGCTCTGTGAAATTCATTGGAGAAATTGGATTATGTGAATCACAGACATAAGATTCACATTCTCTTGGTTGGAAGTCTCAAACTGTACCCCTAGAGCCAAATCTGGCCCACTGCCAAAGCTTTATCAAAGTGTGTTACCCATTAGTTTTCTGTGTTGTCAATGGTGGTTGTCCTGCTACACCGTGTGACAGAGAAGCAGTTGCAACAGAAATCCACCTCACAGAGCCAAAGATACTACCTTGTGCTTTATAGAAAAAGTTTCACAACCCCTATTCTTGGTGGTTTAGAGACGGTAGTGAGCCCCAGGCAGTTAAGCCACTCAGATTTGGGGTGGTTCTCTCACTTGAGGCTTAACTTTGTTTCACCAGAACATTCTATTTCATGCCCTTTTTTTGTGGCTAGTGGCATATTCCTATGTATCTAGAATAATTTTCTATTATATACCAATATATGATGTGTTCATATAAACAAAACATGTTCCTCTGCAAAAATCATTTTCCATATGTGTATATTAAAAGTTATTTTGTTTATCCACCTGAACTTGCTTCTCCACGTTTCCTAGGGCTGCTGTAACAGAGTACCGCAAACTGAGTGGCATATAACAGTAGAAACGTACGGGCCAGGCTCCTCTGAAGGCTCTTGGGGAGGATTCTCCTTTGCCTCTCCCACTTTCTTGTGGTGGCCAGTGTTGTGTCTGCATCACTCTGATCTCTGCCTTTGCCCTTGTGTGACATTCTTCTCTCTGTGTCTCCTTTCCTCTTCTGAAGACACCAGTCCTGTCAGATTAAGGCCTACCCTACTCTAGTGTGATCTTAACATAATCACTTCTATGACCCTGTTTCCACAAGAGGTCATGTCTACAGATAATCAGGGATTAGGACATCAAGATCTCTTTTGTTGGGGGGACATGCCCCAACCTATAATTCTCCTGTAACTGGAACTCATCTTATGTGCTTGTGTGTTTTCAGCACTGTCGGGGGAGCGGGGGTGGGGGGGCAGTAGGGATGGGCCTGTGCACGTGCTATGGTGTGTGGCCGTTTCCACTTTGGCTTCTGTTACCCGTTGAGGGTATAAAGTCTGCTGTGACCATGGGCTCTAAGGATGGGCTTTTCTTCCTAGTTACCCAGAGAATGGCGTGGTCCAGATGAGTGCCAGGGATGTCCGGGCTCGTGCCCGAACCATCATCAAGTGGCAGGACTTGGAGGTGGGCCAAGTGGTCATGCTTAACTACAACCCTGATCTCCCCAAGGAGCGGGGCTTCTGGTACGACGCAGAGATCACCAGAAAACGAGAAACCAGGACAGTGCGAGAGCTATATGCCAACGTCATGCTCGGGTGAGCCGCATATCCTCCCTCCCTTCTCCCGGGGCCTCTGGACCCATCCACCCCTCTGGGGCTCTATTACTATCCTGCTCCCTGTGACCGCCTCTCACCCTGACCTAGGGAACCCTCTCATCTTCCCAAACTAGAACTCTGTCCCCAGGAAGCACTAACTCCTCACCCCTTCCCCAGCCCCCAGCACCCACTATTCTACTTTGTCTCTCTGAATTTGATAATTCTAGGAACCTCCTGTGTGTGAGTAGAACCACACAGGATTTGTCCTTCCTTTGTGTCTGGCTTATTTCGCTGAGCATGATGTCCTAAAGTTTCATCTATATGGTAGCCTGTGTCAGAATTTCCTTCCTTTTTATTGTTGATATTCTATATTGTGTGTGTATATGAGTATCTGGCAATAATTTCCCAATCCCAGGTATAGCACGTGCAAAGCCCTGGGTCAGGGCTGTTTCTGGTGCATCTGTGGCCCCGAAGGGAGGCTGGTAGGTTGGAGGGCAGAGTGAGAAGGAGCAGTGGAGGTGACCATGGAAGCTGTCCTGAGTAGGGCATGCAGGAGGATGGCTAGGACTCTATAAGGAAGTGGTGTTTATTCTCTGTTGGGGCAGTTTCATACCCAGGAATGATACATTTTGAGCTGTGGTTAAGATTGGCCCTGGCTTCCCATCAGGGAGTGGACTACAGGGGCAGTGTGGCAGCAGGGAGATGGGGACAGGCTGCTATGGTCACTGGGAGACAAGGTCTTAGAGTCCATGCTGTGCTGCAATGATGTCCTTGGTGCCCTCTGCAGTGGCAGAGGACCTGCCTGTTCCCTAACCATGTTATTTGGGACCCAAGAGACTTGGATCACCTGTTGTAGGGACTGGCTCACCCTAGCATTTGGGGCACCCTGGGTGCTGTCCCATCCTCCATGAGTGAGAGTGCAGTGCTGCATTGGGGCCTGACTTGTGAGTGCAGGCAGCTGAGCGCTTGTCATTTGACTCTGTCATTGATCAGAGCAGCTGACTTTTCTTGCACAGGGCCATATTGTTTGGCTTCTCAGGCCAGAGGGACTGTATTGATAACATAATCTCTAACCCTGCCATTGTAGTGTTAAAGCAGCCATAGACGGACGGTGCCTGTGGCTCACTGGGTAGGGCGCCAGCCCCATACACCGAGGGTGGTGGGTTCAAACCCAGCCCCAGCCAAATTGCAACAAAAATAGCCAGGTGTTGTGGCGGGTGCCTGTGGTCCCTGCTAGTTGGGAGGCCGAGGCAGGAGAATTGCCTAAGCCCAGGAGTTGGAGGTTGCTGTGTGCTGTGTGATGCCCTGGCACTCTACCAAGGGCGATAAAGTGAGACTCTGTCTCTATAAAAAAAAAAAGCAGCCATAGACAACACAAATGAATGGGTGTGGCTATGTATTGATAAAATTTCATTGAATAAAAACAGTTGGTACTACTTATAGGTCCCTGTTGCAGGTATTCTAGATATGTAGTCAGCACCTTGATGAATTGCCTTTTTTTTGGAGACAGTCTCACTATGTCACCCTTGGTAGAGTGCTCTGGTATCACAGCTCCAACTCCTGGGTTTAAGTGATTCTCTTGACGCAGCTTTCCTTTTATTGCAGTTGTGTTGTTGTTGCAATTGTCATCATTTAGCTGGCTGGGGCTGGGTTGGAACCCATCACTCTCGGCCATAACCACTGTGCTGCAGGCACCAGAGCCTGATGAATTGCTTTTAGCTGCATTACTTCGTATTCAAAAACAAGACTGTGGGCTCGGTGCCTGTGGCTCAGAGGCTAGGGCACCAGCCACATAGACCAGAACTGGTGGGCCAAACATCAATGACAGCTACAACCAAAAAATAGCTGGGCATTGTGGCGGGTGCCTATAGTTCCAGCTACTTAGGAGGCTGAGACAAGAAAGTCCTTTGAGCCCAAGAGTTTGAAGTTGCTGTAAGCTGTGAGACTGTCTCAAAAAAAAAAAAAAAAAAAAAAA